CAACCCCTACAGACCTCCCTCAGCAGGTCTATTTTAATCCTTCCCTGCCAAAGCCACCACTATGTCAAGAGGAGCCAGACTTAGAAGCTTCAAACCATTGCTCACTGTCAGAAAGCAAAGATGACAGTTCTAGCATTTGCCTCTCTACTGAGAAGTCTTTCCTTTGCCTTGCCCCAGAAAGCCACCCTCAAGTTTCTGCCCATCTCAGGAGGGCAGTGTCTTTGGGTTTTGCAGGGTTGAATGAGGTGGTGGCCCCCGGGATTGGGATGGAGCAGTGCAGCTGCCAGTTCGCCTATGCCACGTGCTTCCGTGGCCTGCAGCCTGAGACAGAGGAAGAAGACAGAGACCTGAAAGCATTCTCTCCTGTCCCACTAACCTCTCCACCCTCTGCAGGAAGCTGTCTTGCTCTACCTTGGATGCCTGCCCGGGCCAACAGCTGCAGCACGGCATCCCTGTCAAGGAAAAGCCACATCTGGCCAGAGTACTGCTCCAGAGCACTGAGACAGCTGAAAGCCACCCCTGCTGGCACCCCTGAGGGATTCATCCATCTCCTGGAGAGTTTGCTGGAACTTCAAGACATTCTAGAAGCTTCCTGGGGGGGTGGACACAAACATCCCCCAGAGAAGTGCACCTGGCACTTTTTGGAAAGCCGGAGCCGGCTCTGCATGGGCTCACAGAAGCTCCTGTCAAGCTGTCAGCATGTGATTAGAACAGACCAGTCCCCCGAGGAGATGCAGGGTGCCGTGCGTGACACCTTCCAGCACCTGATCCAGCTGGCTGGCCTGTGCTTTCAGTTCACTGACTGCAGCCGCTGCTCTGCCCGACACAGGGAAGCAGCTGGGAACCTAAGGGATGTGGTGTGCACCTACCACCAGTTTGTAGAGGCCGCAAAATTGACCTGTGAGAGAGGCTACCACGACCTGAGTGTGAAACTCTTGGCCCGTCAGTGCACAGCCCTCACAGCTGCCGTGTTCTGTTTGACCCAGAAGTTCCGGGCATCTACTGCCCTGTAAACAGGGGGCCCCCTTCCCTGAACACTTCCCTAAGAAGCCCGGTCCAGCCCCCGCTCACCCCCATCAGATGTTTACTATATAGAGTATTCAAATAAACTGCTGTTTAGTCTTGGCCTGACTCATACAGAGTGATGATAAGTTTGGTTGAAAAGCATTCACTCAGATTCACTTAACATTTACTGGATACTTCCTTTGCACCAGGCCTGTACTAGGAGCTCGGGGATTACAGGCAAATAACATGAGCCCCTGATCAGAATGCTCACAGACCCTTTGGGTACAGATCAGTACTTAACCATCAGTGAAGTGTGCACCATAAAAGGAGTGTACCCAGGGGTACAGATGCAAGAGGAAGCCACAGATTTTGTCCCAAGAAGGCAGGAATGACAGAGGAAGTGGAGGTCACTTAAAAACAATCTTGATTTCTCATATCGCACTTACTTACCAATAGCCTTTGCATACAGGGCTAAATACATGTGCTATTTTACAGATTTACCTTCCCTAGTTTTGGGTTACAGCTCCCAGCACCAGAAGGCCTGTTCTTGGCTGCCTCGCTGCAGCAAGCATAGGCTGCCACTAGGTGGCAATAAGTTTCTTAGTGGCAAAGCCACTACGTGTTTCATTGAAAATCTTGAGCCCTATTTCTGTTTTAACTATGTAAAAGGCAAACACTAAATTCCTGAATTATATGTACCTTTTAAAGACTATTAAAGCAAAAGAAATACATTCCATAGCTTTTCAATAATTCAGAAAAAATAAAAATAAAAATAATCTCAGATGAGCTAGTTAATCCCAGTTAACCATGACGGACAATGGACAAGCTATTTAACTTCTCAGAGTTTTGGTTTTCTCTTCTGTAAATAGGGATTCTAACATTGCCCACTTGATAGAAGATAAACCCAGGAAATACTAATCTAGTAAACTCTTAATAAATGGTAGTAATAGCTCTCTCAACTTTTTCCTAGTCTGAAACTGTTCTCAGGGAAACTCATGTCAAGACTCTTTTGGAATGCCTTTTGCCATGGCTTCTTTGCCTGGACAAAAAGGTGCTTTAGTAACTAACCTTGGATTTCTAGAGGTCATTGGGGGGTCCCTTTGTATCTCAGTGCTACCTCTTCTCTGGTAGGGCTTCTTAATTCCTCCTCTTCCCCTAGCAAAAGTAGGATCAGGGATGAAGGTGTTAAGTCACATACCTAAGCCCTCTCCAGTCAGAAAGAGGGAAAAAGATACCCCTCCCATTACCCATTACCAGTTACTTGTTAGCTAGAAACAAGTTGGTTAATCAGTACTTGTGTCAGGAAAAGATTCAGGGTCTTAGAGAACTGCTTCTTTCCACAAAATACTTTGAATAAAATTTAAGACTTTGAACACACATTTGAAGTGATTTCATGGCAAAAATAGGGATAGTAAGACACTAAAATTTTTTTAATTGTATGATATTAAACAGGACTTGAAATTTTTGCCAGCAGAAAGCTCTGAAAGAACTGATTTCTTTTTGTGAACACAATCTGTGTATTCAGAAGTTTAGAGAAGGATCCTAGGACTTCACTCAGGCCTAAAGTCCTGGCTGTGGCCTGTGTTATAGACACTTCTCTGGCCCTCGGTTTCCCTATTTGTCAAAGGGAAATATCCACTTAATCAGGGTTTACAATGTGCCAAATGCTTTCTTTAGATAGCCTGAATACACTTTTTAACATGACTGTCATCCTACGAATTGTTATAAAATGTACATTCAGCATTTTTGTGAGAAATAGTTATAGAAGGCAGGAGGGAGGCTGAAGTCTCCAGATCAGGCACTCAAATGTTTGTTTCTTTTCCTCTCCTCCCCTCAAGTCCATTAACTTTCTTGGGTTGCTACTGTATGGAACTTGTCTTTTTCTCTGCAGTTCCCTTGTGGAAGACTAGGTCCCAGAAGTGATGGGAACCCTTCATTTCTTGTTGAGAAGTGCAGGGCAAGTCACTCCTTTTGGCACTTCCTTTGAGACACACCGCCCCCTTATACTGATAGGGCAAATGAAGCTGCCTACCCCACAATGCAAGAGTTGGTGCTGAATAAGAAATTACTGGATATTTCCATTCTTTCCCTTTTCCACTCAGTGCTGCATAGGGTGATTTAATTTTTTTCAACAAATATGGTACAGCCATGCCACGTGATGCCTGATGCAGGATTATGAGTGTAAATAATTGGGTGGAAATCCAGTTTTCAAGAATTCCCAGTAGAGGTTAGATGACAAAGAGAATAACAAAAGATACAGTGTACTAAGGGCACACTCTTCACCAATAAGGTGCTGTGAGACCTTTAAGCAGAGAAGTCATTTGAGGGTGAGAAGCAAAAGAGTAATCAGAAGTGTCTTCCTAAAAAAAAAAAAAAAAGTGTCTTCCTGTAGTTGGTGGGATTAATTAGAACTAGTATGTCAGGAAGTGTTTATTGAATATCATGTGTCAAGCCTTAGATTTGGTAGTTAGGATTTGGATGTATCAAGAAAATAGAAAAATTATTTATTCTGTCAACAAATATTTACTCTGCAGTGGCATTAGAAATACAGCTAACCACATGGCAGACACAGTATCCTCTAGGAACTTAGTAGGAAAGACAGGGAAAAATACATTACTGACTGAGAGGTGATTTTAAAAAACAAGTTGCCAAGACAGAGATGGGATCAGCCAGTCTTACCTCAGGTAGCCAGGAAAGGCCTTTCAGAAGAGGGAATGTTTGAGCTGAGGCCTAAAGGATCAGAGCCAGCCACAGAAAACAGAGAGGGAACAATCTGTGAAAAGGCCGTTGGTGTGTTTGAAGGATTTCAAAGCCAATGCAAACATATGGCAAGCTGGAGGGAGAGGGACAGGAGCTGCGGCTGGAGAGGCAAGAACCAGGAGGTACAAGGCTTTGGGAAGGGAGTTAGATTTTACAACCAAGCACACCAGAAAGCCACTGACAGCTCTGGAGTAGGGGACACACAATTATCTGGCAAACAAACGTGATGGGGGTGGGGGAAAGTATCAAGACCCAGTCAGAGGCCTTTTCTTTCCACTGGAGAGCAGCCACAAACTCAGAGGTGAAGGGACACAAGTGTGGGGGTGGGGTACTCAGTATGGCTGAGAGTGAGGTTCGGGGACTGGCAAGTGTGGTGTGAGTCAATGTGTGGGTCATGGGAGATCATTTGAGCCCCTTTACGAGCTGCACTGAGGCATTTCAGCAAGTAATGGGTAGCCAGGGCCAGCTTCCAAGAAGAGAAGAGCCGAGAGAGCTGGCTTTTAGAAGAGAAATGTTCAATGAGAGGATTTATAGATCAAATTGAGGGACGGATTGGGAGGAGTTGTGCAGAGAAAAGCCCAGAGGAGAAACTGGGCCAGAGAGGGATCCAACAGGTCCACTGCTTCATGACAGAGACCTATTTCAGGCTCCCTGGTGGAAAGGTCTCTCAGAAAGGGTGAGACCCCTAGGATTCCAGGAGTGAAGTCCTGGTTAGTCCTTATCCAGACAAGGCTTGGGCTAACCATTTCACATCTCTGAACCTCAGTTTCTCTGATGATGCGTGAAGGGAGATGAAGGAGGTAGAGTGATCAGAGATTACACAGCTTGGCTGCCAAAACGTCAACATAGCCTAGTAGCAGAAAGGTGTGTGTTGTCAGGAAAGGGTTGTGGACCCTATGGGTTGTTAGGAAAGCAAGGGGAAGGCAAAGTCCCCAGGCTAAGAGATCGTAATTCAAGACTTGGTTTCACCCTAGTTTGAGGCATCCGTCCAGTGCCAAAAACAAACAGCTTGGTCACCTCCAAGAGTCCTGTCAGGCCAATAAGGGGGGTGGGGTGGGGAGGGGGGATTGGAATCTTCAACTAACAGATGGGAAAACTGAGGCTCGGGAAGCAAGGCAAACCTCTGGGCAGGACGCCGGGCACCAGCAGAAGGGGCAGCCCTGGTTACGGCCCCGCCCATCAATCGGCAAAATTAAGAACTACAATTCCCAGGATGCTACTCTGAGCGGAGTCTGAACCCGGAAGTGGTATTTGGGGCGGGACTAGGTGTGCACCGCGGCCGGTGGGGCTTGACTGTGAGAGGTTCAAGTATGCGGAGGTTCGTTTTGGGGGCGGCTGGGGACTGGGGGCTTGGCCCTGGGGACAGCAGGCGCGCTCGCGGGTGGGGTGGATGCCGGGGAGGCAGCGGTAAGGTCGTGTGGCCGCGGTACCCAGCTTCTTGCTGCTTCCCCTTCCTGCCTCTCGCACCGAAAACTTGCGGGCCAGATAGTACTCGCGTGCTCTCGGGCGTGGCGTCTGGGGGTCTTAGTCCCGAAAGTACTGGAGGAATGGAGCCAACTTTCGCGGACCACAGCTTAGAATGGGAGTATTATGCAGGCAGAGGCTGGTCCGGTGACGTATATGCTCATTACGCGGGTCTTGGGTTAGAAAAGGTCTTAACCCTTTCCTCCTCGCCCCGTGGGGGTGGAGGATTCATTAAATCAGCAAGTATTTATTGAATGTCAGTAGGGATGGGAGAGAGAGAAAAAAAGTAAAACAGGACATGTTAGTGAAAATCTGCACCAAGTTAGGAAGATAGTTATAAAGAAAGAGCATTGGAAGTTCAGAGAACGGCAAGTGCAAAGGCCCTGGGTTGGGACTATCTCTGGTATGTTTGAGGCACAGCAAGTAGACCAGAGTGTAGAAGAAAATTATGGAGGAGGTAGGCAATAATGATCTGCATAGGCTCTGTGTAGATTTGGGCTTACCGTAACTGAAGTGGAGACTAATGCAGGGTTCTAAGCAGAAGGGTGATAATGATTATCACATATTTAGGATGCTTTTTTTTTTTTTTTCTGTGAAGCTGTGCCTGTGAATTCTTAGTAGCTCTTCCCTGGAAGTATTTATTATCAAACAGGACAACAAGCAGACCAGCTGTTATGCAACAGAATGAATGTCACCCCCAAGTCTCTACCATGAACCATCATTGTGTTAGGTGCCTAGTGACGTTGTTGAATGATTAAGGCTCAAGAAATATATTTTGAATGAAAAAATGAGATGCTGAATCTGGGCATAAGTAAGGCCTCACACAGATTCACACACAAATCTGCTTCATGATTCCCTTTGCTTTCTAAGGATCCCTAGGTGGCAGCCTCCTATTCAGCATTTACTGAGCTTTCATTCTATGCCAAGCATTAAGCCAGTCACCAAAGATACAAAGATGAAAGAGAGGCAGTCTCTGCTTCAGGAGTGATTACTCTCCTGAAGAGCCTGCGATATTGCAGATTCACCGGCGGGGGTGGGGGCTATTTAAAAAATTTTGATTATCATGATTACTGCATCCCAAGTTCCTGCTCTGAGAAGTAACCTTAGGGATTATAGAAATATAGGAAGGCATGAGGTATATAGAAGGGAAAAGAAAGGGAATGGGAGTGATAGTAATAGTTCAGTTTAACAAACACCAAACGCTACTGTTTGTGAGGTTCAACAAAGGAATTGTTTGGTGAAAGATAGTAATGCAGGCATTCCAACTTTTTAAGGAACAGCCATGGAAAAGGCTAAGGTCCCTCAAACTACTCCTATTCTGGCCTTTTTTTTTCTTCTCAGACATTTACTTCCATTGCCTCCTAGTCATTCCCCAACAAAGTGTCAATGAGTATTTGACTGGGTGAATGGTTGAACTGAAGGTAAGAATAACAAAATGTAATGAAGTTCAGAGAAGGAAGAGATCACAAGGCTGTTAAAAATTAGCATTCCTAATTTACTTATTTATTTATTTATTTTTTTGCAGTGTTGGGTATCAAATTTAGGGCCTTATGAATGCTAGGCAAGCACTCCACTGTGCCGTACCCCCAACCGTAGCATTCTTTTAACAAATTCTTTTCTCGTTCTAATAAAATGCAGTTACGTTATTGAATCAATTTACCATGAAGTTTTTTGAATGCTTAAACGTAGAAAAATGCAGATCACTCTGATGATTAGAATAGCAGTTTATTTTGTCGTCTAAAGGAAGTATTATAGCAATGGTCTGGATAGCTTTTGTTAAAAATGATATTTGTAATCAGTACTTGTTCATACATGAATAGTGCAGTACCTCTGAAATGTTTAGGAATACTTTGGTATTTTTCTCATTTGGAAATATTTTGTACAATATTTTGTGTATGCCATTAAGTCTGTAGGTATAGTTAATATATAAATAACACATTTAAATATTAATTTGTAGGGCTGGGATTGTAGCTCAGTGTTAGAGCACTTGCCTAGCATGAGTGAGGCCCTGGGTGAAAATCTTGCAATGCAAAAAAACAAAAAGTAATGGAATATCTAGATAGAAATAAACTTTAACTTAAGCAGGCAAATGCATATAAATTTCAACCCTATAATTTTGAAAATCTAGAAGGTAGTTTACTTACCCATTTTCCAGAATTTACCATATTTGTGTGATGTATAGCAGATATCCAGAACTCCTTAAGCCTGTAATGAGATACTGAAAGGGTTTTGAATAGTAGCAGTAAGACCCAGTATTTCCTGAATACTTGTTCTCTGTTAGGTAAGCAAAATGTATCTAGTTAGACCTTGCAGCAATTCCATGAGGTAGTTTATGCATCTTGTAGAAAGACTAAAATTAAGTATTCTGCCTGTTGTCCCACCATTCACAGTGGGAAATATTGCTAAATCTAAAATGGTGTGTTAGGCAGCTTTCCTGTTACTGGATGCAATACCTCACATCCACAACTTAAAGGAGGAGAGGTTTAATTTGGCTTATGTATTAAGGGGTTCAGTCTGTGGTCAGCTGGCTGCAACGTAGAAACATCATGGTAGAAGGGCTGTGGTGAAGCAAAGATGCTTAGTTCATGGCAGAGCAGGGCAACAGCACCAGAAAAGAAGGGGGAAGGACTAGATGTAGACCCCAAAGCCATCCCTCCATGACTTACCCAGATGTGCCCATAAGTGTGCTCCTCTAATCCCCCAGGTGGATTCCAAAGCCAATCAAGTCGGCATTCACCCCTAACTGCCACAGATGGCGATTTTTCCTCAGAATAGCCTATTTATGTGGAAAGTGAATGCAACTGAAATTGGCCAATTTTGAGCAGTTGATGGAGTACAAGAAAATAAGGCATTGTGAACTTAGCATTAAAAATGATTTTGAACCTTATAAATCAAAACACTGGGGGGCTGGGGATTTAGTTCTGTGGTTCTGCTGCCTGCCTTGCAAGCACAAGGACCTGAGTTCGATCCCCGGTACCAAAAAAAAAAACTGGAAAAAAGGGGCCGGAGATTTAGCTCGGTTCCGCCACCTGCTTCACAAGCACAAGGTCCCAAGTTTGATCCCCAGTACCAAAAAACAAAAACAAAACACTGGAAAAGAAAATATAACTCTAGGACACTAGCTATCTCTGCAGTGAGTGATATTTATGGAATTATAATAATATACATGAAGTTTATTGGTTACAAATTTTAGAAAGAACCAAAGGGATAGATAAAGCACAAAGAACTTAATTATGATGGCAGAACTTGTAAAACGTATTTGACCTTGTTAAGCTACAGGTTCAGCTTACCAGAGTTAGAAAATTAAAAGGAAAGTGTGGGAGGGGATATAAAGATTTGTTTTGATACAGGGTCTCGCTGTGATAGCCAGGCTGGTCTTAAACCCCCTGAACTCACGTGATCCTCCTACCTCAGCCTCCCAAGTAGCTGGGACTACAGGCATGTATGACCACTCTAGCTGATAAGAGCCTAACATTGAGGAGTCAAAAAATATATAACTACAGCTAGGCATGGTTGTACATGCCTATAATCTCAGCACTTGGGAGGATGAGGCAGGAGAATTGTTGCAAGTTCAACACTAGCCTGGGCTGGCTATGTAGTGAGTTCAAGGCCAGCCTGAAATAAATATATGTATATATGGTTGTCAAACAAGAAATAGAAACTTTAAAATATTCTTTAAAGTAATTTTGGTAATTATAACAAAAGGAAGAGCATTAGACTGACTTTCCTATAATAAAGTATAAAACTGAACAAAATATGAGAATGTTGTTTTCAGATATTGAAAAATAGGACAGGACTGTAATCCTTGAGAGAAGAGAAACACAGCCTAAGCTCCATGTTCACTCTGTCTTCCTCTCTTGAGAGCACTTTCCAATCACAACACAGTGACACGGGACCCAGAGTGCAGTGTTGTCATTGTGGTGAGGGTACAGAGATTTTAATTCAGGGCTGCTGAATTTGTAGAGCAGGGTACAAGAAAGGACCTAGTAGTGAAAGAGCTCCAGAAATCTACACAGGGTCCCCTTGATCTTTGGCTGAAAGTAAAGCTGTGCATGTACAGGACAAAATTCTGGGTGACCTGAAAACAGTTTTGAGCTAAATGGAAATTATAGAGATGTTGGAGATCTGACCATCCAGAGAGACTTCACTGATCATCCTAAGCATCCCCTTGAGAAACCAGAAAAGTTATACTGTGCTTTAGGAACAGGGCTAAGACCTTCCCTAGTGTTATCAGAATCTCCTGGCTATGCCAAAATGTTATCTGGTAGCTCCTTCTAAAAGTGACTCACCAATTAAAAGTTAACTGGGTTCTGGGTTGCTCACCTCTCCATCTGGAGTTAGATTCCAGGTTCTTGTCTCCAACAAAGAATTGAATGAAATGAGCAAAAAACAGTGGCAATTTATTTAAAAAAGTAAAAGTGAAACATGAGAGAGAAGCTGGCTCTGCAGAGCGAGCTTAGGCTGAGTAAAAGAGGAAAAAGCAAGGTAAAAAGAACACCCTGGAGCTGGGGATTTAGCTCAGTGGTTTTGCCACCAGCTGCGCAAGCGCAAGGACCCAAGTTCGATCCCTGGTACCAAAAAAAAGAAACACCCTGGAGAAAACGGGGTGGGCTGTCATGAGGATAGCAAGTTCTTAGTAGCTGTGTCCTTTTATACTGTCCAGATCTCAAGGAAACCTATAAGAACTTCTGCATATGGGTGCTGAAATGTGGTGCTGGGATCCCATGCCTCAGGCTGATGTCAGGTCTAGGCCATCCTATTGGAAACCTCCTTGAGTTCTCATGAGAAGTCCATATGCAGGCTTTAGGAACTGTTCTGCACATGTGTTCTGAGATCTTGTAATTAACAGGTCACGCCTACTTCCCCAGGTGTTTGCCACACCCTGATCACCTATATCACTATCAAAACCTAAATCAAGCCTTAAAAACCAAGCTGTTCTGCCAGCAGATTTTTTTTACTTGCCAGAACAAAATGTAATACTAACTGGGCATGGTGGCACACACCTGTAATCCTAGCAGCACGCCGGGGGACTGAGTTCAAACCCAGCCTGGGCAACTTAGTGATTTAGGGAGACCCTGTGTCAAAATTTAAACAAATAACAGGGATGGGCATGTGCAAAAGCCCTGGGTTTAATCCCCAGTACAGGGCGGGGAAAAAAAATCTGAAAAGCGGGTACAGAAAAAAAGACATTACACACAAGGGAACAATCATAAGAATGGTAATTCCTCAATAGAAGCAGTATAAGTCAGAAGACAGTGAGATTTTAAAGAGTTAAAAGAGAAAACCGTTCAACCTAATAATTATTAAAATATCCTTCAAAAGCAAAGGAAAAATAAAGGCATTTTCAACCAAACAGAAATTGAGGGAATACATCATAAGCAGACCTATACTAGAAGAAATGCTAGAGGAAGTTCTTGGGGCTAAAGGAAAATCATACTAGATAGAAACACTGATCTTCATGAAAGATAAAGAGTGCTAGAAATGAAAAATATAAGAATATATAGATGGGTTTTTTGTGGGGTGGTTTAGTTTTGGTTTTTTGAGACAGGGTTTCACTATATAGTTCAGGCTGGGCTTGAATTCACTATGGAGTCCAGACTGGCCTCCAACTCCTGGCAATCCTCCTACCTCAGCCTCCCCAGTGCTGGGATTACAGGGTTGGGCCACCACACCCAGCTTCTTGTTTCTTTAAAACAAATGTTTATTAAGCAATTTGTTTAAAGCAAAAGTAATAATATATTATAGGATTATGTTATATATAGGATGATGTTATATAACAAATGGAAGTAAACTATATGACAAAATGGAAGAAAGGACTAGAAATGGCAATATATTAACCTAAGGTTCTTAGTTTAAGCATAAAGTTATTCAAGGTATATTGTGACAAGCTGGGTGTGGTGGTGCACGCCTGTAATCCAAGCACTGGTGGAGCTGAGGCAGGAGGATCGCTGCAAATTTGAGGCCACCCTGAACTACAGAGTGAGACCCTGTCTCAAAACAAAAACAAGGTATACTGTGATAAGTTAAGGGTGCATATTATAAGCCCTAAAGTAACCAATAAGATAACTAAAACATGGCGTAAAAGCCAGCAGAGGAAAAAATGAAATGCTTAAAAACAGTTGATTAATTCAAAGGAAGGCAGGAAAAAGAGAGGACAAATAATAAATGGAACAAATTGTAAGATGTAGACTTAAACTCCCCTGGAACATTCATTAAGATAGACTATACGCTGAGTTGTAAAACAAGTCTTAAAGAATTTGAAAAGACTGAAGTACATATTCTGTGACTATAGTAGTATGTTAGAAATCAGTTACAGATATCTAGGAAGTCTCTATTTGGAAACACTATAGTACTGTATATTTCTAAATAACAATGAGTGGAAGAAATATAGGGAGATTTTAAGTTTTTGTATGAATGATACTGAGAAAAAATGTAGCCAGCCCCCAACATGACCTTTAGTGATCCTTGCATCCTGTTTCATGCCCTTGTGTAGTTAACTCCCACAATGGACAGGACTGACTTTTATAATAGTAAGACGCTGAAGAAATGCCAGTATGTGACTCCCCAGGGTGAGGCCACAGTGGCTTTTGCCTTGCTTTCTCCTAGATCACTTGCTTTGGGGAAAGTCAGCCACTGTATCAGAACACTGAAGCAACCCCATGGAGAGGTCCACGTGGTGGGGACAGGCCTCCTTCCAGCCCTCAGGATGAGTCATCTGGGGAGCAGATTCTCCAGGATCAGTCAGGTACGGGCTGATATGTGTGCGAGCCCCTGCCAGAACCTGCCAGCTGAGCCCTGACCGACAGAAACTGAGAGAATAAATGTTTGATGTTTTTTTAAACTGCTGAGTTTTAGGGTAATTTGTTTCACAACTAAATACACAAAAGTATCAGAATTTGTGATATGCGACTAAAATAATGTTTAGAAGGAAATTGATAGTTTCAGGTGCTTATGTTTAAAAAGAAGAAAAGTTGAAACCATTGATCTTAGCTTCTACCTTAAGAAGCCAGGACAGGAGGGAAACCCAAGGAAAGTAGAAGAAAATAAATAAGAGCAGAAATGAATGAAAGAGAAAATAAACAACAGATAAAATCAGTGAAACCAACACTGGTAATTGCTTCTTTGAAAAGATTAATAAAATTGATAAGCTCCCAGCTAGACAAATCAAGAAGGAAAAATAATTTAAAGGAGACACAAAGCATGAATGTCAGGAGTGAAGTCAGAAACATTACTTTAGATCGTACAGATATTAAAAGGATATTTGTGAATAGCTTTGTCAATAAATTTGACAACTTAGCCGGGCATGGTGGCACAGGCCTGTAGTCCCAGAACTTGGGAGGCTGAGGCAGGAGGACCATTGCAGATTTGAGGGCAGCCTGAGCTACACAGTGAGACTCTGTCTCCAATCAATCAATTAGTAAAACGACTTAGATGAAATAGACAAATTCAGCAAAAGATACATGTTATAGAACAATTCAGCTGGAAAAGACCATCTTTCCTATAAATCATGCAGTGTATAAAAAATTTACTAACACAGAGTATAGACCAAAATATAAAATTACAACTCTAAAGCTTCTAAAAGAGAACAAAGAATGTCTGTGTCTTTTCAAGATTTCTTAGAGGACCCAGCAGAAGTTAGTAACACTAAAGAAAAAAATTGATAAATTAACTGAATCAAAACTTAAAACTTCCAATGTTAAGAAAGTAAGTAGCAAGTCACAGGCTAGGAGAAAAGAGTCTTTCTCTATAGATACAGATATAGATATACTTAGACACACACAATACTAAGGGCTGGATTGGATGTGAGAAAGGCACCCTTAGAAGAAAACCCAAAGGCTCTGCAATCAGCAACTCATTACAGGGGTCTCTTTCCACCTAAGCACCCAGATGAAGTTCTCCAGTTTAGGAGTGCCTGGCAGTAGTGCTGAGAGACATTCCTGAGGCTTGAGTGGAGCAGCAGCTTTGAGGGGGTGGAGAGAGCTTTGAATTATGAGAGCAAGGTGGAAGGCGATGATTGGATTCAAGGGAGAAAGAAAAAAATGGTGAAAGCATTTATTTAGAAAAACAGGCCATTAACTAACGAGGTGCAGGAAAGGAGAGGTTTTAACCACTTTTGGTAAGGAAGATAGGCTAGTATTAAGTTCAGGATACCTGAGGGGTACACGTGTGGGGCTATTGCTCCCCCCTCCAACTCCCCAATACCCATCTCTGGCCTGAGATGTGTGAACAATCAGAGACAAAAACAGGGAGAGTAGATAAAGCCTGAGAGAGAAAGAAAACTCTGAAAAGACTCATCCAGAATATTTGACACTATTACAATTCAATAATTAAAAACTAATTTACAAATGAGTAAAAGATTTGAAGAGATATCTTGGAAAGTGGACAATAAATTATCAGGAAAATGCAAATTAAAACACAACAAGGTTAAGAACCCTGACAGTATCTGTGTGGCTGTGGAACATCTGGAGCTGACGTACATTGCTGACTGAGGGCAGTATGAAATATACAGTACTTTGGGAAATTAATGGCAGTTTCTTCTGAATTAAATATATACCTATCCCAACACCCAGCAATTCTACTCTAAAGTACTTAGCCAAAAGATGTGAAAACTTGTCTGTCTCAAATGTTTTGTCAACAGGAAAATTGTGGTATAGTCATACAATGGAATATTACTTAGCAATAAAAAGGAATAAACTACTGATAACATTAAACAACATGTATGAAACTCAAGAGCATGGTAGGGAAGGAGTTAGGTTCTGTAGAGTACAAACATTTGAGTTTACTGATAGGAAGCTTTGTAATAGGCACAGCTAATCAATGGAAAGAACAGTGTTTACCTTTGGCATGCAAGGGGAATGGCATGGGGCTTGATTTGGAAAGTACAGACAATTGGAACCTTCTGGAGTAATGGAAATGTTCCATACCTTGATGGGTAGCATAAGCCCTGTGCACGTGTCAGAACTCATTGAGCTGGTATACTTGTATCCTCCACACATAAACTCATTGAACAGGGTTAGGGTTAGGGTTAGGGTTACCCTTAAAATCTTTGTATTTTACTGTATGTAAATCATCTCAAATGAAATTGAAAGATCAAGATAGCTAATTTTTTAAAAAGACTAGGTGTAGCTTAGGGGCAGAGTGCTTGTCTGGTATGTGTGAGGCCCTGGCTTCAATCCTCAGGACTACACACACAAAAAAGATAATGAAGGATTAAAAATATTAGAGGATTGACTTAAGTGATTTGAAGTCTGATGTTTTGTTGGGAGTCAGTAACTTTAGAGCTGATGCATCGAGAAGTAAGGTATAAGTGTATGATTTCAGGCTCAGAAGTCAGTTACCAGAACTAAAAACGACAGGTTAATGGGATGCCAGTAGAGGTGGAGGGAATAGAAATGAAGATCATTACTTTTCGTTATTAAGTAGGTCTTTTTTACCGTATTCATGAATCATACATTTTAAAGGTACATATTTTTTTCTAAAATGATGGTATTGTGACTGAACTCAGATGACCAGCCATAAGCAATGGCCATGGCACTCTTGGTCTATGACCCAAGCATTTCTGACTTATTTTTTCTTTTTCTAGGAGTCCAAACATTACTGAAATTATAACACCATTCATTAAGTGTGCTGTTATAGTGCTTCATATTTTTCAAACTTGGTACTTCTAAGGAATATTATACATTCTCACCAGTGACTGTGGAGTGATACTTAACTGAGGTGAGGATGTGATACATAGTTTTAAATAATGATTTCTTTCCTTTTTTTTCTTTTTTTCTTTTTTTGGCAGTGCTGGGGATTGAACCTAGAGCCTCAGCATACTAGGCAGGGGTTCTGCAACTGAGCTACATCCCCAGCAGAGTTCTTGATTGATTTTGTGCCACTCAGCCATAATTTGGGGCTGGCTTTTTATCGTCCTAGGATACTTTTAGTATAGTTCTTATATATAACAGGTATTCAATAAATATTTATAAATTTGAAAATAAGCTGTTTAAAGCATAATCATAGAGTGTATTTCCAGAGATACAAATAAGTTCACTACCTGTGTCAACTACAGCAGATAGCATTGATTGCTTGGGGATGTTAGAAATTGCACTTGCCCTCTAGGAAGTGTGCTTAGTCTCCTTACTACTAAACTGTTCCTATGCTAAATTACTTCTCTGGAAGATATGCTTATCTTAGTTTAGTAAATGTAGCTTAGGGCTGGGGATTTAGCTCAGTGGTTCTGCCACCTGCCTTGCAAGCGTAAGGACCCGAGTTCAATCCCCAGTACCAAAACAAAAACAAATGTAGCTCAGTATGTCGTAACTTCTCCATCAGCAAAAGAGTAACACTGTTTTGTGGATATAGAGAATTAGGTATGTAGTATCTCACATAACTGTGCCTTTTTCTAACCTTGTTGAAAGGACAGAGGACTAATCACATGGACTGGAAATTGGAAGGGAGCACTCAGAGAACAGAGTCCCTACTGCTGCAGGGACAGGAAGGCATCATAGAGGATGAAGATGGACTCTCTGAAAGCTTCCAGCTTCTGCAGATTGATGTGGAATGTGAGCAGCCAGAGAGCAAGACCCTTCCCACAGGCAGTGCACCATGGTGCTCAGTGAGTGCAGTGGGTTGTCAGTGCTGAAATCATCCAGAGATTGTTCTAAGGGTAGATACGAGTAATAAAAAGACACCACCAGTTAGTTTTCTATATTCTAAGTGATGAATTAATTTTCTGCTAACTGACTTAAGGCTTCAGTTTTATTTGAGTCATAGGAAAAGTAAAGTTCAAAAGGAATTTTGATATACCTCAAAAGAGTCAGGGAGCCTGGTGTGGTGGTGCATGGCTGTAACCCTGGCACTTGGGAGGCTGAGGCACGAGGATCGCTGTGAGTTCCAGGCTGGCCTGGGCTACATAGTGAGTTCAAGGCCAACCTGAACTACATAGCAAGACCCTGTCTTTAAAAAAAAAGGGGGTGGGGGTGGGGATTTAGCTCAGTGGTTCCGGTGCCTGCCTCGAAAGCACAAGGTCCCAAGTTTGATCCCTGGTACCAAAAGAAAAAAAAAAAAAAGAATCCTCTGTTAAAAAAAAAAGAATCTGGGCCAGGGATGTAGCTCAGTGGTTCCGCCCCCTGCCTCGCAAACACAAGGTCCCGAGCTCGATCTCTGGTACAAAAAAAAGAATCAGGGAATCTATACTTTTGCCTCTGACCCCGGTGAATTTATTGTGACCTTGAACAGATCACACATCTTTTCCAGGATTCTGTTTACTCCAGTCTGGGTTTGTTTTCAAGATGAAAAAATTTTTTTTCTCTCCTAACTGTATGTGTAAATTAAAAAAATAATTAAGTAACTGTTGGTAATGTTCATTTTTCTTTATGGTGCTTATGAAGTTCTCAAAAAATTTTGTTTTCTGGATAACATAAGAAAAATGTCCAAAGAAAACAGAGACACTGGGAAAGGATAGTTGCAGCAAAGAAGAGTGGAAGAAAGCAAGAAAAAGAAAGAAAAAAAGCCAATCGTTCAGAAAATTCCGGTAACAATAAATGAGATTGCCGATATAATCTTTTATTTATTTTATTTATTTATATTTTGGGGCGAAAACTGATGTCTTCCTATTTCTAGGAGAGTAGGGACATTGTTCTAAGCAAAAACAAACATCTGGGAGGTAAGACCACTTACCTGATTTTTGGAAATCAAAGAGCAAAATTTAAGGCTGCTTTTAAAAATAAATTATTTAGAGGACATAAGTACTTATAAACTCAGAGGTAGAAAGAATGATAAATCTGCCATTTATTCAATGCTTTGTTATCCCTATCTTATAGGAGAAGAGACAGAGGCTCAAAGAAATTTAGTGAGGTCATTCAGTTAACAAGTGAACATGCTGAACTTGGATTAACGGTATAGCTGGGTGGGATGACATATGCTTATAATCCCAGCCACTTGGGAGGCTGAGGCAGGAAAGTCACAAGGGAGACTTAGTGAGACCATTTTTCAAAATAAAAAATAAAAAGGGGTAGGGATGTAGCCCATACTTACCTAGCATGCACAAGGTCCTGGCTTCAATCTCTAGTACCACAAAAAATAGCTAAATAAACCCAGTTTTGTGCTCTAGGTTCCAATGCTCCTCACCACTTTGCAGTACATAAACCTAATAAGTGAATACCTTATAGGAGTCTCAAGTTTCTTTATATGCAAAAATAAAGGAGATTTATTTCTTACAGAATATTATTCTTCTGTTTTGCCACTTGTGTTTCTTCTGTAGGCATCTGCACCCAGCATAGCAAACGTTTTCTGAGAGCCTTAACCAAAGAGAAACTTCTGGAGGCCAAACACTCAGGACCAAGACTGTGTATCGATTTGAGTATGACCCACCACATGTCGAAGAAGGTAGAATACTCACTAAGCCTGGAACTCCTGCTCCCCTGAGAAAGGCCCAGAAAGGTGCAGCCTACATGCAGAGTCTGACCACCACCAGCTTCTGTGGCTTTTGAGTCATCCGGCAGATATGTTTGGTTTTCTACACGAGGCTACTGAGTTCTAAGATGGCTGTTGGGAAGAATGTAGAAGAGAACATATTTGTACATCCTTTGGTTTAGTTTGTCTTCTGTTTTGAGCCTGTCACCTTCACTTCTCTGTCCATTGTGACCCCAGTCTGGATGGAACTTTTCAGGTTCAGTTCTTCAGACCGCAAATCTTTGGTCTTCTACTAGGAAGAGAAAATTTTCCTGGTAGTATGTGGTAGGGAGGTTACCTGGTAAAAGATCTTCTTGTAATGTTTAATCATTTTTCATCCATCCTATTGGTGAAGGAGGGATTTCCACCCTAGGCTTCTGGGAATGGCTGTACACATGACAATAGAAACTAGTCAGATGAAATTGATAGGAGCTTACTAGTATCATAAACTTACTGTCCCAGAGGAGAAAGATGCTGGATACTATACAAAGCCATGTAGGGATTGTACTTGAGAACAGAATGGACAACCAGGGACAATGGGACCTGGGCTTTGTAGTATCAAAAGGGTGAGGTGCCCCCTGGTTCCCACAGGAGGATGGGATTGGCTTGTTGAACAATTCTGTGGACTGGCAAGGAATCAAAATGTTCTACTCAGGGATAAGCAGGAGCTAGCCATCATCCCCTTGATTTAAAAAAAAATTTTTTTTTCAGTTAGGGAACCTTATCTCATCTGCAGGGCCAGAGTCAGGAGAGAAATTTGAATTACGCTATTTGAGATCCTCCCAGCTTCACCAGAAATCAGAGCAGCACATAATATTTTTACTTAATTTTAGGCCTTGCACCTCAGTACATATACTTGTAAACACATCTCTTTATTTTCAGACTTCCCTGTTTTATGTGCTGTTGTATGTTTTTCAGAGAAACTAGGACAATTTTAGCTCTGGGGTTCTTATATGGATCTTCAAACTGTGGCTCTCTGGAAATATTAATTGAAAGATCTGATTAAAGCAAACTCAAAGGCTTTTTTTCTCTACTTCAGGCTAGATTGTGAAATAGCCTTCCTAGAACCAGGGTGGAAAGTTAAAACTTCAATCCTATGGCCTCTCAAAGTTAGGGTAAAGGTAGCAGACATATTTGATGGAGTATGAAGTTTTGATACAGTGATCTAACCTCTGGTGTGTGCCTATTGTCCCAGCTACTCAGAAGACTGAGGTAGGAGGATCGCTTTCGTCCGAGAGTTTTGGGCTGCAGTGTACTAGGCCAGTCAGGCGTCCCTGCTAAGTTTGGTGGCAATATGGTTGCCCAAGGAGGGGTAAATGAGCCCAGGTTGGAAGCAGAGCAGGTCTAACCTCTTTAATAACGAGTAGTAGATATTACATAGAAAATTTTTATATCAAATCTAAAATAACCATAACATGTATCATAGTAAATATGCAACAGCAGGGTCAGCAAGAGCAAATTTCCCAGTTTCCACTAACTCATTATTTCTGAACTGATATCACTATTTTAGCTGTCATCCATAAGGTATAATGTCAGAGGGTATAACATATGCATTTGCTCATTCCTGGAGCAAAAGGGGCCATCCTAGTTCATGAGCTTTGCTAAAATAGCAATCAGTAAACCTACTACGTAAGTTATGGTTGATAGTGAATTTAGAGTGAGCTGGTATGTTTCAACCCTGAATTGTCCTTATTTCTTTGAAGGAAATGAGTAGGCTGGCTGGGCAGATCCGAAGGTTGTATGGTTCAAACAAAAAAGCTGACAAACCCTTTTGGATCTGCCTCACTGGATTCACAATTGATAGTCCCCTCTACGAAGAATGTTTGAGGATGAATGATGGGTTTTCTAGTTACCTGGTAAGAAGCTTTTTGCATGTTATCTAAAAAGTGGTTGTGAAGTAATGATATATATTTTTTTTCATGTATAGCTTGCCCTCCGATTCTGTGGGTTCCACATCCACATATTTTAAAAAATATATATGGGGAAAAAGTTGCATCTATACTGAACATATACAGACTTTTTCTTGTCATTCATTATTCCCTTAACAATGCAGCATTTACGTTGTATTCGATATTATAGTAACCTATGGTAGAAATGATTTAAAATATATAGGAGGGTATGCATAGCTTAAATGGAAATACTATGCCATTTTATATAAGGGACTTGAGCACAGGTGGATTTTGGTATCATAGGAGGTTCTGGGATGAATCCCCCATGTATACCAAGAGATGACTATAATCTGTATATGTCTGAATTACATCTTTTTACTATTGCAATCTAAAATGTCAGAACCTCTCATTAGTTCTTATGTTAAATTTTTTTGTCATTCTTCCACAGGATTGTCTAACTAATATTACCAGTATCTAGGGCTATATTTTGTAACTTGTATATTTTGTGCTAGACTGTGCAACTTCAGTAATGTTTTTGGAAAATGCCACGACTCCTTTCTTGTTCTCAGTAGTGCAGAATTAAGGAACATAATTTTTGAAGGAAAAGAATGCATGCTTTTAGTAGTATGGATTTAAGATGAGTTGTAGCAAGGACAGTATTAAGGTACTTTTCAGCCATTGCCTAGGATCTCATAAATGTAGTGATAGATACACAAGTAAGAATTCAATTCAGTTTCTAAAAAATGTCATTAAAAATGCCCTTGTGTGTGTAGCTGGGACTGAGCAATTGTGGCCTTCCTTACGGAGGGCCATGAAGCCCATGAGTGTGACCGGCGCACTGTGCAGTGCTACACGGCCACCTATGTAGCAGTTACTGTCTTAAAAGGCTGCTGTAGTGCAGCCATTTCCAATTTTACTTCTCTGTACTTTTTTAATGATTTCCGTATGAAAGCCAAGCAGACCAAGTTCCAGTGCCATGTTGTTCCTTTGTTTCCCTGTCTTCCTGCTTCCTCTTAGGCATTTCCCTCCACTTTGAATTTTCCTTTTGTATATGTCAATCTCAGAGCTTTCCAGAAACCCAGCTCCTGCATTCCCTTCACCGGATTATCTTGGAATTGTTACTTTCTCACCTGTGGTCCTGGTGCACACTTCCTGTTCCTCTGTGAGAGCCCCATTCACTGTCTGTCTCATTTTATAGGTTTGAATGTCTGTGGCTTTCTATTTCTCCCTTCCTGACCAAGCGCTTTCTGAGAAGAAACCATCAGACATGCAGCACTTTGATATACCTAGAGTCAGGCCTGATGAAATGTCCAGTAACTGCTTGTTGAATTGTGGACTGTGTTTTAACCTCATTCTTATTACATTGGTTCTCTGCATTTTGTAGCTAGACATAGTGGAAGAAGACTGCTTTAGTTTATTTCCTCTGGAAACCCTTGTGTATCTGACTCCTGACTCAGAACATGGTAGGTACATTGCTGCCTGGTTTGGGTAGCACTTTGTTCCTGGCCTTTGTTTCATTATCCCCTGTGGCAGAATTTGTTAAAGCCACTCAAGGAATGTCAGAAGAAGGGGAGGGAGTGAATGGGAACCGCACACCTCCTTCAGGCAGACACTTCACTGCGTGCCTGTGTCCTGCCACATGTATACTGCTGCACAGATTGAGGGTTTCCATCCTCAGCTAGACCTTGTATGCTGCTTTGCAATTCAGTTTCCCTGGTCGGCTTCCCCTATTCCCCGTTTTGGGTCAGTGTTAGATATATAAATATATATATTTTCCTACAAAATAGTCCATTTCACGTAATTTTCAAATTTATTAGTGTTGAGTTGATGGTAGTATTCTAATTATTTCACATTTTTCTGTAGTTTTAATCTTGTTTCCTTTCTGAATCTAATGGTGACTTGGGCTCACTACCTTTTATTTTTGATTAGATATGCCAACAGTTTGACTATGTTTCAATCTTTTCAGAGAATAAACTTTGGTTTCATTGAGGAAGTCTATTATCTCTTGTTTTCTGCTCATTAAATTTCAACTTTTATTATTAATATTTCTTTCCTTTTGCTTTCTTTGGATTTAGAAATTATAAAACAGATTTGATCTCAGTGGCTTTTTTTTTTTTTTTCATTAGCTCTTGAAGATGTTGTTCTAAACAGAGTATATGTTCTTGGTGGACTTGTGGATGAAAGCATTCAGAAGGTAAGACTATCTTTTAGCCTCAACATCTGTATCTTGAAATATAGATGCTCCCTGGTGGACTAGTGGTTAGGATTTGGCATTCTTATGGCTATGGCCTAGGTTCAGTTCCTGGTCAGGGAAGTCTTTATATTGCTGGACATAGTGGCACACACCTATAATCCCAGCACTTGGGAGACTGAGGCAGGAGAAGTGCCTCAAGTTTGAGGTCAGCCTAGGCTACATGGGAAGACTCTGTCTCAAAAAGCCAAACCAAACCAAACCAAACAAAAAAGTAGTACTCACTTTTAGAGGCTCTTGCCGTGTCACAGTCTTAGCCACAGGGCCTAGGAGCTCAGTAGGAGCAGAAAGAAAGAGACTGATTTCCTCAGTGAGTTTAGCCATCTGTGCAGTTGCACCCCTCATCAGCACTGTCAGCAGAACTGAGCCTGACAGGAGCTAAAGTTACAGAAATAGCCATTCTTGACTTCTTTCTCTCTTCAGTTCTGCAAGGTTAACTCCGATCTTGACCAAGTAAGCATTGACTCAACATTTTTACCAGAGTTTGTTGTCAGTGAGAGGGTAGTTTGGTCCTTCTCAGGCTGACTTCTCTGCTGAAATAAGTCTTATTCCAAAATTTCAAACTCAGCTGGGCATGGTAGCGCACCCCTGTCATTGGCAGGAGAATTGCAGTGAGTTCAAGGCCAGCCTGAACTACACAGTAAGACTGTCTCCAAAAAAGAAAGATTCAAACTCAATAGGACTATCCAGATTTCTTTTATTGAATTAGAGTTTTACTGGTGTAATTGGGGTTTCACTGAAACTTTAAAATTTATTCCTATTATACAAATATTTGCAGAAATAATTTTCTTTATATTTACTAATTTATATTGCATAGTTATTAAGTTGAATAATGATATAATAATTAACATGTACAGAAAGGACATGTTAAGAGAAGCCCCTTTCTCACCCTTGTCCCTTCTTCCCTTCCCCCGTGGCATCACTATTCTTTTTTTTTGGTACTGGAGATTGAACTCAGGATCTTGCGCTTGCAGGCAGGCAGCAGAACCACTGAGCTAAATCCCTGGCCCTACCACTATTCTTTTTTTAATGGATCTTTCTTGATCTATCCTGTGATCACACAAGTAACGTGTTTATAGGTCTGTTTTACATAAATGTTTTTCATATATGTGAGTGTATTCGATATACTTTCTCATATGCAGGAAATGAAACACATTTAGTGCTGACAGTAGCTTAACTTCATTTATTTTTAAAACAGTAGCATTCCATGACTGCATAGTAATAACATAAAAAATGGACAGAGGGATTTCTTAGAGAAGAATGCCAGCTAATAAGTGAGGAATGTATAATAGAATTAGAAAGTCATTGTATTTACCATTCTCAGTTCAATCATTGATTCAGGCAATTGATTAAATAAAAGGTTCTGGAGGAACCAGCTGTTTACATGGTATCACCTCACAGATTATACAGGTAAAAATGTACCATTACAATTAACCAATCTGGTGTTCATCTTGTCCAAACTTGCTCAAACATCACTAAGAGTGACACAGAGTGCCTGCTGATGAAATAGACTCTCACCTTGCCCAAAAATGTTTAAACTGAATATAGTCGTGAGGAAACAGGCAAATTCAGAATGGGAGACATTCTGCAAGACAACTGGACTTTTAATGAATAAGAACTAAAACAGTCAAGGAGCTGTTTTAGATTATAAGAGATTTAACAAACAAACAAAATACTGCCAGGCGCAGTGGTCCCCACCAGCAGTCCCAGCTGCTGGGGAGGCTGAGGCAGGAGGATTGCTTGAGCTCAGATCCTTTAAGCCAGCCTGGGCAACATAATGACACCCTCATCTCAATGAATTAATCTAACTAAATAGTCAAATGCAGTATGAGAGCCTTGATGGGATTCTGGTTTGGAAAAAAAGCTTTATAAAAGGTATTTTGGGGATAGTTTGGGGGAGATTTTAATCTGTTAATTTTATGAAATTATGAGTTTCTTAGGAGTGAAAAGGGTACTGTGGTAAAGTGCAAGAATGTCATTGTTCTTACATTCATGCTTAAGTATTTTGTGATGAAGTGTTGTGATATCTGTAGCTTACTTTCAAATGGTTCAGGAAAACATGCTTTTATGTACAGAGAGAGAAGCAAATTTGATAAAATGTTAACAGGTGAATATGAATATAGACAACAGTAGTACTGACTGTATTATTCTTTCAGCTTTTCTTAGGTTTCAAATATTTCAAAATAAAAAGTTGAGAGGGCCATACAGCTTTATTGAAGAGCCAGGCAAGTCACCCTATGAATTGTCACCATTTTTCTGCAGTAGGAGTCAACCCCCTATTTTCTTTTTTTTGTACCAGGGATCAAACTCAGGTCCTTGCACTTGCGCAGCAGGCGGCAAAACCACTGAGCTAAATCCCCGGCCCCAACCCCTTATTTTGAGACAGTAAAATTCAGAGGGTCAGTGAGCAATGTATGATCTGTAGATGTGCAGTTTTAACACCCTGTCCTCTTTTATCTCTGTGCCAATATTTAAACTGAAAAAGGAGAGAGAGAGAGAAAGCAAGTAAGCAAGCAGGCAGGCAAGCAAGCAGATCTTTAGAGCTTTTTTATTTAACTGGGGATTTTGGCTTTTTCACAGACATACACTAAGAATAATATTTCCTGAAGGAGAGTTGTTTTGTATTTAATGTGCAGAGAACAGAAACTAATACCGTACACTCTTAGGCAGCTTCCACATATTCTACTAACTTTGAATTCTGTGATATATAATTCAAAGTGATTGTAAAGGAGTAAGACTTTTTTAAAACAAACATGTCATAGCTCAGCTATGCAAAGGAGTATTACCCTTCAGTGTAATCTTTTTTAGTAGCCATGCTCTTATTCCATCTGAATTGCATCTTATTAAAAGAAGTTTTTGAAATTCTATTTCATGCGAGTCTGAGAGGCGGGTCATCCAGTGTCAGAACAAAAAAGGTGCTAGGCCTCCTTCATACCATTTTTTTTGGTTAGATCATGTTTATGGTGGCCAGGTTCATAAATGAAAGTACATTGACAAGCTAGAGCAAGTTCAGAAGTGACTCAAATTTAAGTCATACAGAAGAGTTGACAGAACTAATGCTGTCAGTCTGGAGACAAGAGCATTCATAGGGGCATGCTCACTGCCCCCCAGTACCTGAATAGCATCTGGTGGAGGGGACATTTTACTTCTTGCTGTGGCTCTGGGGTTATAAAACTAGATGAATTCATAGAAGTCTCAGAGAAAACAGTTCGGCTCAATATTAAAAAGAATTTCCTGCCACTTGGTACTGTTGGGTTGGAATGCACACATGAACCCCTTGTCACAGTAGTTGTCCATTTAGAGACCAGATGACCATTTGGGAGAGGTCACAGAGCATAGACAAACACTGGATGGTGGTTGAAGTGAAACAGGTAACAGTATTGAGGTCCTTCTAAGCACAAGTTTGTTAATTATCCCAGTGACCTAACACTTTCTCTTTAATTCTAAAATCTTAAAAAGTAGAACATCTTGGAGGGGCCGGGGATTTAGCTCACTGGTTCCCGAGCCTGCCTTGCAAGTGCAACATCCCAAGTTCAATCCCTGGTACCAAAAAAAAGAAAAGTAGAACATCTTTCCTGCACATCTTACAAGGTAGGAAGTATGATGTAGATTTTATCTTATGAAACATCTTACGCAGAATCATGTTTCTATACTGACCCTCAATGGCCTGAGATTGTTGCACTTCTTTGAGGTTTTGTTTTGTTTTTTGATTAAGTTTATTGATACATAAGGGCCAGGGATTTGGCTCGGTGGTTCCGCCGCCTGCCTCGCAAGTGCAAGGACCTGAGTTCAATCCCTGGTACCAAAATTTTTTTTTAAAGTTTATTGGTACATTTTAGGTATACATTATGATCACATTCATCATTGGGAAATTGTATCTGTACATGATATATCTTGGTTCTTGTTTTTCCCCATTCCCTTTCCCTCCTTTCCACCCCACCCTTCCCCCCTTCCCTATTTACAAAAGCTTTGTTTCCGTTTTTTTGGGGGGAGGGGGGTTGGTTTTTTGAGGCAGGGTCTCCCTTTGTAGTTCAGGCTGGCCCTAAACTCACTGCGTAGCCCAGGCTGGCCTCAAACTCACAGCGATCCTCCTGCCTCAGCCTCCAGAGTGCTGGGATTACAGGCATGCGCCAACGCACCTGGCTTTCTTTCTTTTCTCACATTTTGCTTTCCCTTCTTTCCTTTCCCCCACACCCCCTCCCTAGTTACCCTTTCCTTTTGAACCCTTTCTTACTATTTCACAATATCTATTATACATTTTGGTACTCATTTACACTTTCAGTTTCTCACACCAGAGAAACAATTGGGTATTTACACGTATGTCATGTTTATTTCAGTTAGAGTGTGGTTTCAAGGTCTATCCATTTAGCTACAGATGTCTCCAGTTTATCATTCTTTATGGCTAAATAGTACTCCCATTTTATAAAACAAAAACAAAAACAAAAAAACACCTCTTTGTCAAATCACAAGTTGATAGGCACTTGGGCTGTTTCCAAGATTTAGCTATTACAAACTGTGCCACTATAAACATGGGTGCAAATGTATCACTGTGGTATGATGCTTTTAATTCTTTTGAAGAGCTACCAAGAAAGGGAATAGATGGGACAAATGAAACTTCTAGTTTTAGTTTTTTGAGAAATCTCCACACTGATTTCCACAGTGGTTGCACCAGTCTACACTCCCACCAACAGTGGAGAAGGGTTCCTTTTTCCTCATGGCCCCACTAGCATTTGTTATTGGTTGGTTTCTTGATAGCTGCCATTCTTTCTGGGGTGAGGTTGAATCTCAGCGTTGTTTTCATTTGCATCTCTCAAATGACCAGTGATGTTGAGTGTTTTCTCAAATGCTTATTTGCTGCTTCTACTTCTTTGAGAAATGTCTGTTCATATCAGATGCCCAGTTTGGGATTGGGCCTTTAAATTTGAGGGGTCTGATTTTTTTTAAGTTCTTTATATATTCTAGATAGTAGTCCTTTGTCTGAGGAACAGCTGATAAAAAATTTTTTTCTCACATTGTGGGTTATCTCTTCACTCTGTTGGAGGTTTCTCTTGCTATGCAGAAGCTTTTTAATAAGATGAGATCCCAGTTGTTGGTTCTTCTTTGAGATTTTCTGATTCCTTTTTGCAGTTTTCTCCCTGTTGGTTGGGCTGTCATTTTTCATACATATTTACTTTGTTAGTTACTTTTTTCTTGCTGAGACACATTACCTGACACACATGTCAAAGGAAATGTTTTTTTCAGCTCACAGTTTGTAGAGATTTCAGTCTATAGTCAGCTGGATCCATGGCATAGTAGCCTGGCAGAGGGCTATCACAAAGGAGAAGCAACTCATGGTGTGGCAAGAAGGCAGCAAAGCAGCAGAAGCAGCAGCAGAAGGGAGCTTGCCTTTCCCTTTTATGTCAAACAGGCTACCCCTTTTTGGGTCATGCCACCCACACCCAGGGTGAAGCTTCTGTCTTCAGTAAATCCACTCAACCACACCTAGAACTATGCTAATTCAAATCAGTGAGCTAATTTAATACCACACACCCTTAATCCCAGTGTCATACACCCTAGATCCAGCTATCTCTGCAAAGCCTGACCTATGAGTGCATGAGGCTTTGGGGGGACATCTAGATACAAGCCATAGACATGTTAGTGTTTTGTTACTTGCTTGTACCATTCTTGAATCCTGTTTCTTTAACTTGGCCTCTACTAACTGGTTATGAGCTTAGAACACCAGATAATCCAAAATTGGTCTTACTGAGTTAGAACTAGGAGTATTCTCTGATCAGCTAGCTTGCTTTGGCTTCTTGATGCCAGTTTAGCTGTGGCTGTGCCTCTTTTGCTCATTTCCTTCTTTTTATAAATGTTAGAATGTGGAGGCTTGTGGATAAATGGTGCCCCAAAAGTGAGGTATTGCCACACATGACATTTCTTACTGAGGATAAGTAATCTTCATTATCTGCAATTTCTTCCAGTCTTCCATAGGCTACTTTTTCTTAATATGTTTATTTTTAATTGTGATTACATATGAAAACTGACGTAGAGATAAATGGGGATTCTTACAATTTGCTTTGCCTGTTATCATGAGAATATATATATCCATGTACAATTTTTATGATAAATGTATATTTAACTGTGATTTACAGAAAGTGACATTTCAAAAGGCCCAGGAACACTCTGTCAAGACAGCCCGTTTGCCAATCCAGGAATATATGGTCAGACGCCAGAATGAGAAAAACTATCATTCAGAGATACTGGCCATCAATCAAGGTACTGGCTAACACAGCCCACACTCAACTTGCGTTAATTGTGTTGAAGTGTAAGTGCCCCTTGAATAAGTGTCCTGTGACAAATATGCCTGGATTTTATTGCATGCATTTTGTGATATGTATTCTGGCCACCAAGAGGCATTCTTCACTCTCTTCCTGGTCTTCATCTATGTTAAAGGTAGTTGAAATCATTCCTTTTGCCTAGGATGCCCCTCCTTCAACTCCTGATGGACCAATTAATTTGTTTGTCTTTCAGGATTCCGTTCAGGAGCATCTTAGCTGGCTTCCCTACCCTGCCAGGCCATCAGGGGCCCTTCCTTGTGTTCCCATGATACTGGTCCTTGGATTGCAGTGTTGTCCATTCACAAGCCTGTGTCTCTCACCATAGGCTGAGGTCCTTGTGAGCAAGCAGAGCTGTGTCATTGCTTCTGTCCTCCCAAGACCCAATACTATATGTGATGCGGTATAATATTTCACATCCTTTTTCTTCCTAGGCATTTACTTGCTTTTTCCTAATGGTCATTTTGTTTTGTTTACCTTCTAACAGTATTTGATATCCTGTCCACTTACTTTGATACTCACAACTGGCCCAAAGCATTGAAGAAAGGAGTTTCTCCAGGAAAAGGCTATGTCCTTCAGAATTCAGAGGAATGACAGTAGCCTGAGATGTCTTCATCAAAGAACAGGGCAAAACGCAGCAGTGGCACACAACTTGCCTCTGCTTGACTCTCTTTGGCTCTTTATAGTATAAGCTACTGATGGCAAGGATCATATTTTATGCTTTTGTATCACCTATAGTGCCTGGCTCACAGGAGGTGCCCTGATTAATGTTAAGTTTACCTAATAAGGAATTAGCCCTAAAACTACATGGCTTTGGATATGTTAATTCATCTTTTATATCTATTTGTGAAAGACTTGCTTTAGATTAATAATTAAATATTATGTCAAGCTTAATTTTCACTAAACTGGTATGAAGTTTTATAACGTTTCCTCCTCTGAACATGCTGATTTTTTTGGTACCGGGGATCGAACTCGGGACCTTGTGCCTGCAAGGCAGGCGGCAGAACCACTGAGCTAAATCCCCGGCCCAATGCTGATTTTTTCACTGTGACATGCTGCACATAAGCTTTGGAGGATCAGCTTGGCCTATCCCTCTTTCAAGCCCTCATAGCATTTTGTTCCCTCCTGTGGCTCTTACCCTGTTTTCCTTGAGTATGGGCATGCAAGGCTTCTCTTCCAGTGTGTGAATAGCTTTGGATCCTTCTGAGCTTGTACACATGAGATTATTCATATATATTAGTAATTAACAGAGCAAACTGAAAGTTGTTGCATTCTGACATGTAAGCTTACCAGATAATCTACCTCTTACTGTACAAACATCATTAGACTTTTCTTGAATCTTAGATATAACTGCTTCAGTTACTTTTACTAGTTTGAGTTAGTTGACTTGCTGGTTAAGGTACTAGAAAATTCAGGAAATGCATTCTACATCTCAGAAGAACCAAAAAGTTACTTCTTTGCTTCACCCCCATTCCTTTACCATTTAATCCCTTGGGAACTACGCTCACTTGATAAATTGTATCAATGTGTTTTCATTATTTAAAAACAAGCCAATTTTCAGAAAACATCTTTTTGAACATACAGTATAATGCTTCTTGGTCACTTTCAACATATTGAATGAGTCTATAATCTATTTCATCCCAAAAGGAGTATCTATGGATAGGCTTCAGGGGGGTCTGTAACTTACATTCTGAGGTCTATGACCCCAAAACCATGGAACTTTTCTCATCTGCCAGTCTTCATTTTTACTTATAAAGGCTGTTAATATATCAAATAGCATGAAAGAACGTTTTTCCGTTCTATCACACACCTTTCCCTTTGCTTCAAAATCCGAGCAAGTAGTTTTTTGTTTGGCTTCTAGGAAATGATTTTAGCAAAATAACATTTGGCCAGACTTGGATTCAAAGAATCCTGATCACTGTCTGTGTTAGATAACAACAAAAAAATTGAGTATGTACAAAATATCCCATAACATGAAAATATTTAATGCAACTATTGAATTTTTAGTAATCATGAGAGAAATGTTATATGTTGTAGTGTTCAAAAGTATATTGCATGGGGCCAGGGATTTAGCTCAGTGGTGCCGCTGCCTGCCCCACAGGTGCAAGGACCTGAGTTCAATCCCTGGTACCAAAAAAAAAAAGTATATTGCAAAAGATACTCTGTAATTCCAGTTTGAAAATTTCAACATACATATATGTATTGGTTAAAAATATAGGCCAAGTTAAATTCTGTGACTCAGTTTCTTCAACTGTGAGGAAGTATCTTGTAGTTAATCCATGTAAAAACACTTGAAACCATACTTCCTACATGATAACACATGATTATTAACTATTACATACTCTTCCGCTGACATGGGATTACAGATGACTTTTGTTTGGTTCTTTGTACTTTTTATGTATTCTGTATTTCCTTTGGGGAACAGACATTAATACTGTAATCAGAACATAATTATTTTAATGCTGATTTCCAGCTCATTAAAGAAGCTGCAACCTGTTACCTTCCAATAAATGAACTGTAATTTTTTTAGTAAACTTCATTGTATAAAACAAGTCATGATTTCACAAGAACATGAGTGAAAACAGTAATTTCCTTATAAAAATATTTTACTTAAGACTCTAATTAGACAATATGTGCAGTCACATCTTGCCTGCTGGAGATTTAATAGGAGAGGTTCACCTGAAAAGTTTCTCTAGGAAACCCAGTCTCTTGGTTCAATTGACCCATTAACGAAGTCCACATTTGTCAACTTTCTGCCAGTCTTGCAAAGATTTGCTTTCTTTGGTCTGCTGTCATGTGTTCACAAGCTTCTAAAATGTTGGCCAAAATTAAAGTCTGCTGAATGGTTTTTGCCTTAACCCATATTCTTCCATTCATGCCAAATACAATCTCTAGTGGATAGAGTTTTCCCACTTCCTGTATAATTTCACAATCTGGTGCCAATAGCCTGGTGAGGAAGAAGAAAATGAAATGAAATGTAATTAACGTGGTGGGCTGTGTCCTGGCTCTCCTTAGAAAGACTCTCCTTTTCCAGACAGTTCTCTATAGTTCTTCAAAGCTCTATCAACATCATTCTAAGAATAAAATATGATGACATTGCTGCCCTTTTCCTCCCTTCTCATTTTTGTTTGAGACAGGGTCTCTCTGTGTTGCCCTGGCTGGTCTCAAACTCCTGGACTCAAAAACCTCCTGTCTTAGCTTCCCAAGTAGCTGGGACTGCAGCCATGTGCACCATGTCCAACCCCCATTTCCTCCAATCTTTTTATTACTATGGTCCAAAGACAACACTTTAAACTTATTTTCCTGATCATGTAAGTTATTCCCTGGTATTAAACTCAATACCCGAGGAGGTATATTGGCTCTTTGGAACCACAAGGTACTGCTTTGTTAATAACATGCTTTTCTAATGTCCCAAACTTACTCTCCAAATTTGCAGAATTGGTAGGAAGGAAAGGCCTAGAAGGTAACTGAACTTTAGTGGCTATAGGAGTAAAGCCCTTTAATATGACACAGCTTTGGGTAAAGGTCTACACACCTGACAAAGTATTCCAGTGGGAACCATTAAATCTGCCAGGACAGAGTAGCAGGACCCTTGTATAAGTGTCTACATAAGCTTGAGGATCACATCAGTCTAGTGGCATTTGGCCACCATTAGAGAAATCTGATAATTTTGTACAAGTAGTTTTCATCTGTATTCAAGGGACTTAAAAGAAAGGCCAACTCTTCCACTGGGGCTATGTCAGTTACAAGGGACAGCAGGCCTTCTAGTAAAGAATGGACTGGGACAGAGTAGGAATTTAAAGATGGAGTAGCAGCCCAGACATCACACCAACATCAGAAACTACATAGCCTAATACATCTAATTTGACACAGAAGGGGCAGGACTGTATTCATGAGTTTATATTGCTAAAATGGGTATTTTTAATTAACTTTGAAGAGAAATTTAGATGCTGTTAATAAAGAGTCCAAATTCCAAAGAGTCATTAGCTTTCCAAGCAGGTATAGTAATTATAAAAGAAGGCAGACAGGAGACTTACTTTCTAATCAAGCCTAAAGTCACTTTAAAGAGAAGGCCATCCTGACCAATTACACCCATTCCATTGGCTCTTCCACAGCTGTCAATACAGACCATCTCTGGTTCCATATCTTTATTAGCAACCACAAACTGGCCATAGATGAGATCTCCAACCTACAGTTATTTAAAAAAAAAAAAAAAGTTATTTTCTTTCATCAAACCATTCTTTAGATGCTGCTTTTGGCTCCTTCCCATAGGCAGCAATGCCAGGTACCTACAGTTCTGTGGCCAAGAGACTGATTACACCAGTGGTGGCAAAACTACAGCAGACGTGTTATTGTGTTTCCTTTAAGAAAAAAGATGTTAATGTAGAGGGATTTTTTCCCTAATCTAAAACCTCAGTGTTCAAGTTTAATTGCAGTGTTGGCACTTCGCAATAAACGGGTTTTGGGTTGCAGTTTGGCACTCGGTCTCTAAAAGGTTTGCCATCACTGGACTGGACTACAGGATTCTACTTTGGATTAATACATGTAACTGTCCCTTTACCTACCAGGAAATCCTTAGACTAGGAGCCATCTCAAGGCCACACAGCCTCTAACTATATTGTCCAATACCCACGTGTAGTTATTTAAACATAACGTTTAAATGAATTAAAATTAGATTGTTTAAAATTCAGTTTCCCATTACACTGGTCACATTTCAAGTGCTGAGCAGCTACATGTAACCAGTAGCTACCATATTAATCAGTGCAGATATAAAACAGCATCATTTTAGAAAGTTCCATTATAGATAGCACTACTCTATAATTATAGAAATTTACAAAGAAAGGGAACTACTGGAATGCAATTATTCAAAACCAAATGGAACACTTGTAATTTAGTGATACGAGATTTATTTTAAAACTTCAGAGCTGAACTTCAAAATAATGAAACTGAAGAAATGGAACATGAATTTGTTCCATTTACTTAGCAAGCAAAACTATTAAGTACTTTACTATTTGTTGGTGACCACAGGAACTAGAGAGAAACAAAACACTTTCTACCTTTCAAGCATTTGATCTTAGACAACAGTAGGAATGCACATGTAAACAAATTTCATTCAAGGCTACATCCAGTAAGGGATACATCAAAGATACAAAAGTGACAATTACGCATAGCTTTACAGTGGTAGTAACCTTTAACTTGGACCTCAGAAGATAAGCATGTGCTCCACAGGCTGAGAAGATGGCACAGCATGAGCAAAGGCCCAAGGGCAGAAATTGAGTTTAGTGTTTGGTGTGGTTTAAGCATGGCTGTATGAAGGATATAATTATGGATGAGAGAAGTAATACCAAAGATTTCTGTGGTTTTGAAGAATTTTTTTCTTTTGAGAAAGGAAAGGTGTGAGGATGTCACCTGTCAAAAGCCAGGATGGAAGGATAAAAATATGGAGGCAGGGGTGTTTAGAAGATCTTTGGGTCCTGTCAAAAGGGAGCTAATACCTGAACTTGATAAGTAGAGATAAAGGAATGGACATGCAAAAGATCAGAGACAGACTCATATAGATGAAAATAGGATTAAATAAAGTTCTGTAAGAGGTGAATGAATAGAGGTAAGGAAGCCGCCAAAGGCTTGGGTAGAAGAATATGGCTACCCTACCTGAAAAGCCCAAATTGAAAATCTGTGGTAACATGATTGCTCCTCTGTCGGTCTCAAGGACTTACAATCTGGTGAATAAGGAACTAGGGAGGAAGAATCAAGATGGACAGATGCTGATGACAATGTGCAATATTTGTCCCTCCTCCCTAAGCCCATGGCTGATTCAGTTGTGCAATAGATATGGATATATTCAATTCAGTGGAGATAAAACATCCCAAGAACTAATGTAACAAATGTAAGTATATGGCTGTGGTCCTGGAGCTGGAGCATCTAAGGAACTGTTGGAGCCTGGGGCCATTAAACAAATGTCTGGAGATCATCCCATAGAAGTAGGAAAATGGTTCATACTTTAGAGACAATTAAGAGGAGCCTTCTGGATAGCTGAATGTTCTGGGAAATGGTTTTTTCTTTCTTCTTCTTCTTTTTTTACTACTGAAACCAAAGGCTCCTATCATTACCTGCACATTTGGTCTGTTTCTTTTAGTTGCACCTTCAAATGCCAAGTAAGACAAAGAGGCTGGCTCACTCCCTCCAACATCAACTTTGAATATATCTCCAGATTTGGCTGTCACTATGCCAATCACATGGTCTCCTTTCACTGGTACATACTACAAAAGAAAATAAGGAAAGAACAGTCATGAATGACCTATCGCTGGAGGATACCTTCTTTCTACAAGTCCTTAGTAGTTACTTTATTGTCATTAAAGAGATGTTTAGAAATTATTTTAAAATTCAAGTTTACAAACACAAATCTTACAAGAAATGTGATCATATGTCACTTTCATGAACCCTCAAATTTGCTACTGCTGACTCTTTCGTTTTGTTTTGAGGCTGGGTCTTGATTACACAGGCTGGTCTCCAACTCCTCTCAAGCAATCCTCCCACCTCAGTCTCCAGAGTACTCTAATTGGGACCTGGGCACCCCCCCTCGCCGGCTTTTTAGCTTCTAATACTCTATTAATCTGAGCCAGTATCCCATTTTTCTTCAATATCCTTACCAGTAAGTCCCTTGCCTCTGTTGCACTTAACTCTAGTACACAAGTATCCTTACAGCCACGGCAGCCCATTCCATTTTTAGACAGTTTTGCCTATATCAAAGTTCTTAACTATTCAGAGAAATTTAACTCTCTGTGACTTCTAAGTTCCTGTAACTTCTCTGCGACTGGTTCTGTCCTCTGGAACTCCAAAACTAAGCCTGCTGGTTCCTGACGTTTGGGATTTTGAACATAACCATGATACAAGGTCTCCAGAAGCCTTTTGATCGCTCTTCTCAGGCTATGTTTCTAGAAGATGTACACGTGGACACAAGACTACGGTGGCGGTAAGCTAGTCTTAACAAAGGAAGGCTATAAGGACCCATAACTGCTTCTTTGAGAAGTCTTTCCACAGCGAGGATACCACTTTCACCGCAGCGCAGCGCTGCCCCTCCCAAGTCCCAGCTCACCCGCTTCTGTTGCGAGTCCACCCAGTAAATGCCACCACTGCTGCCACTGCCAGACTCCTTGTGACGAAAGCGGCCACACTTGGTTACCAGCAGACGGTCTCCGCAGCGCCGTAAGCCAGGGCCGCACACTACGCGCAATCGCGGGCACATCCCAGCATTCAGGCGCAAGGGTCGCTCCCCTGCAACGCCAGGGCCGTCTGTTTCCTCTTGGTCAGGCAGCAGCAACTCCTCACCTGGGAGCACCACCTGACCTAGCACAGTGCGCGCCGCCCGCGCCCTGCAGCCCGCCAGAGATTCGGCAACAAGCACAGGTTCAGCCATCGCAGGCGCCACTAAATCCACTTCCGGCGCCCGGCTTCCGCTTCCTGCCCCGCATCCAATTGTCTGCCCACCCGGAGACTTCTGTTTCCGACAGTTGTGGTCCTTGGGTCTTGGGCCTAAACTTGTGAAACCTAGTTGCACTCCAGCCGCGGATCCCCTTACCCTCTAGTTAACACTAATTGTGTCTTCAGCCGTTTGTTAATCTTACAGTCTATCCGCGGGAAATGCGTAGCTTGAACAGATGAAGGAGCCTCCACTTCCGGTGCCTCCGGTCGCGCTGTTTATAATGGGATGCTTCCCGAGGATTTCTTTAGAACTCAGGTTACTGAGCAGAGGGGCCTCGGAAATTGAACGTTTGCTGAGCTTAGCGGCCCGCGCTTCCAACTTCGACCTCTGAAAGGTGGTTAACTCTGTACCAAGATTTTTTCTCTTAAAAAATAAAAAAACCTTTTGGTTACTACTGGAGAAGATAGCTATTTGCATTGTAGACAACACGAAGAACATAGAGGGAAATAAACATAACGTTAGTGGTCTTGCCTGTTGTCTCTTTTGGTATGCTGTTGTTATGGACGAGTGAGTTCAAACGACAGAGATGCGCCACACTCTGTGCCCAATTCAAGCCCATTTATTATAGTCATCAAGCAGGGCTGATACCCAGAAAGTTTCCTTGGCAATGGGAAGCAGTTTGATTTCTCCTTTTAAATCATGCTTTCAGTTGGGGAGGGCTCTGTGAATGCCAACCCGACTCCATCTTGGGCCTCAATGCCAGTTTGTACCTGTGCTTGAACAAACTGCTCTCACATGAACAAAGCACCCAAAACCCCTACATCCTGCTTGGCAGTAAACTTGCTACAGTTGCAGGACGTTTTGTAGCTCACCTAGTGTGTGTGAAACTTCCTTGCAACCCCCACTAACCTGTCATGGTTCTGCTTCTGTAAGATTCCTCTTGCTCTCCGCTGAGCCCTCCCCAACTGAAAGCTATAAGTGGGCTTGAATCCGGCACAGAGTGTGGCACATCTCTATTGTTTGAACTCACTCATCCAAAACAGCTCAGGGGAGAGCAAGCGGAATTTTACAGAAGCAGAACCATGCCAGGTTAGTGGGGCGGGGTGCAAGGAAGTTTCACACACACTAAGTGAGCTACAAAACGTCCTGCAACTGCAGCAAGTTTACTGCCAAGCAGAATGTGGGGGTTTTGGATGCTTTGTTCAAGCACAAGCACTGTTCAAGCACAGGTACAAACTGGCATTGAGGCACAGATGGAGTCAGGTTGACTATCACACTGTCATGTGTAGTTGTGATTATTTGTGACACAAAATGGGAAATACCTAAGGGATATCACCCTAGGTGTATATTTCTCCCTATATTTTGCCCACTGCAAACATGCACATGTTACATGCACCTTTTCACAAACTTGAGCTATTACTATGTGGCCTGGGAAAATCAGTAACTCGGACAAATCCCTGCTGTTATTTCCCCTGGAGCACACTTTAGTTGCCCACATGAGAAAAAGCTGAATCCCAAATCCATAGTACAAGTAATTCAGAGCCCTCAATTATTTTTATTCTCATTTGGAATCACCATTTTCTCTGTCAACTGTTTCATTCAATTAGAGCTTGATCAATTCTCCAGCTAGTGAAAGCTGGAAACTGGGAGGATGTGATTCTGACCAAAGGCTAGTTTCCCCCATGTTGACTGCCCATCTCTTTGCTTCCCAAGTGAATTTTAAAAAAAAGTTTTGGGAGTTTAAGGCAAACCCTTCACTAAAATGCCTCAAATTTGGCAAGATGCTGGTGAGCCATTTTCTCCTGCATGAAGAGGCCAACTGAGATACAGTATGTGTTTTGCAATCAGATTATTTAAATAATTTCTTAGTTAGTCTCCCTGGCCAGAGGGTGGATTCTTGGGCAGAGATGATATAAATTGTGCTTCTCCCTTCCCCACACCAACCCAGATCCAGTGAATTTGGAACAAGTAGAATTTAGTATTTAGTGACAAAGGCTATGTCTGAGGGTGTTCAAAGAGCTCAGGTCCCGACCAGACAAGAAAGAGTTAATGTTCCCTGACCTGTCTCTCAGGATCCTCTAGGTCATAGTGGAATCTCTGGAAGAAACTGGGCCCAGATTTGATGATGGAGCCCTATCAAGGTCACTTTCCTCTTGGGGCAGCATGTGGAAACCAGTTCAGTTTGCTTCCAAGCAAATAATAGTGCAGGAAATCAGAAAGTGCCTGCCCAGTGCACGCTGCCATATCTGTGCTTTGCTTCCTGGTGTCCCTTGGCCTCTGGTGAGTGACAGTGCCTGGGCTGAGGCAGCAGGAATTGGGATCCCGGCTCCAAGTGCCACCTTGGACTTCACCTGCACCCGGGCTGACCCCAAGGCCCCTTGGGTTCCAGGTCCCGAAGTCACATTCAGGTACAAGACATGCTTCCTTTCCTGGTTGAAAAATGGCCGCGGGTGATTGAAGAATAAAGAGGAATCTGGTAACCAGAGCAGGCAGCCTGCCTGCCTCATCTTCTGTCTGGTGGTGGGGGTTTCCCTTGGATGGCCTAGGCCCACCAGACCCATTCTGTGCTGGGGGCTTACAGGCTTGGAGCCAATGCAGTTGATGCCGCTCTACCTTCAAGTGCCTCTAGCTTCCATGTCCTCATAGCTGAGTACTCCCCATGAAGAAATTTCCAAAGTGCCTTTGGAAAGGCTAGACCTGACCAAGGCCTTCCAGACTCTCAGAAATTACTCTTTAGAAATGTTTGCTACATTAGAAGTCCAAAAGATAGCAATGCACTGTTGCTTGTCATTGTTTCCTAGTGAAGTTAGGCCTTTTTTCTCCCTTTCAGATAGCACTACTTGAGCATTTGCTCTGAACAGGAATTGAGCTGGTCAGGCAGCTGAGTCCTGGCCCCTCCACTGGGAGAATTCACTGTCTCCATGGGAAGATACTCAGTGTTAAGATGGAAAGTAACAACCTGGTTAGAGCATCTTTCCCACCCCAACTCCTAGTACAAAGAGTGAACTAGTCACTTCTTCATAGGTAGACGGTAGGGGTCAAGATAGACATCCTAAAGGAGGTGAAACTCCTAAATGAACCTTTCATATTTTATATTTTGCTGGTTCCTAAAACTTACAAATGAACTACATGCTGATTTATACACAGAAATAGTAAAAGAGCCTATGTAAGTATAGTTAATATATTTATCAAAGTATAGGATTTATTCTAAAAACATATGGTTGTCACCACTCAGATAGTTGCTACAGATGTTTTTTGGGGTACTGGGGAGCGAACTCAGGACCTTGCACTTGTGAGGCAGGCATGGTGCCACTTGAGCTAAATCCCCAAGCCCTGCTATAGATGTTTTAAATCACAACTTTTGCAAGACTTTTATCATCTATCTCCAGCTTATCTCTGCATGTCATCTCACTATTTTCTTCAGTTTCTTAAATTTTTATCATTCTGCCATATTCCCAAGATCACTTAAGCTATTGCTATTTTCTTAGACACTGATTCTCTTTTTCTTTGCCACACTGCAAGCTCTCTGAGCAGAGTGCACTGTACTTTGCATAATAGTAACTGTGTAAGAAATAAGAGTTTGAAATAGTGACAACTGCATATGAAAATTGTGTGTCATGATGCTATTATAGGATTGTATTCATTGAGTGCTTTCTATATATTTGGATCAGACATATATGAGTGCATGGGAAAAGCTTAAAGTGCCTCTATTTGGGTGTGATAATTAACTGATTGTGTCAACTTGAGTAAGAAACACTCAACTAAATTGGATCAGCATAGTTTTGGGTGTAGCTGAGGTGATTTACTGAAGACAGAAGACCTACCATGGGTAGGCTTGTTGCTTGAATAGTATAAAAGGGAAACGAAGGCTCACTTCTATTTCTTCAGAGATGCTCCAGTCTTCACCTTCACCTTGGACGTTGTCTCCTGGCTTCCAAAACAGACCCTTCAGCCTTCCAGTGCAGACTCTTTGGTTTCCTGATGTGGATCTGCATGGGACGCTACAGTGAGCTCCTGGCCTATGACTGGATCCTTTGGCTCTCCAGCACACAGACAGCCCTTTTGCACTCTTCCACACCGGACTCTGTGGGCAGCTATTGTAAGCCAATCTTGTAAATTCTTATATATTTGTATATCTTGCATTAAATCTGTTTCTCTAGTAAGCATTGACTGATACATAGGGTATAAACAAGAGACAAACCACACAGTATACTTTCAACAGGCAAAGTTTAAAATAATGACTATTAATTAACAAGACATATGAACAAATGAGGGAATGGCTAGTAAGAACAAAAAGGGCTTTAAAAAATATAGCAGTGCAGGTACAAGAAACAGTCATTACCTTTAGTATTGAGAGTACTCAAAGAAGAACACTGCACCCAAAAGCTAGGGCTGATTAAGAACTTTTTGGAGAGAGTATGGCCATGGCTCATTGGATAACAACAAGTAACTGGGAATCTGCTGGTGGAACTGTCCATAAATCCACTCTCCAGAACTTGCTGACACTTCTAAGGTGCTGGAGAAAGCTATTGTTTCTAGGAGGGATCTCCTCGAAGCCTCTGCAACAAAATTGCCCAATAGAATGCTAGGGAAAACAGTTGAATGCTGGGTTCGCATGGCACCAAGCAGGAAGAGATACTTAAGAAGCTGACGGAGCTGCAGGGTGCTCATCAGCACACTGGGCCAAGGAAGCAAATTCATTCCTCTTGCAGTGCCTCGCAAGGGCCTTCTACCTATAAAGCTTATGATACATAGAAAAGGAAAAACTATTTTAAAGTCCAGGTCCAGTTTCTCAGAGCTGGCAGTAAAGGGTGAATTTGGAGCTTGGAAGTACTTCATTGATAAATGGCATAAGGTCACATGAGGTTGTAAAATCTAACTCATCAGTAACAGCAATAAGGTGGAGTTTGGCCAGGCCCAGATGGCTTCACTGGACCTTCACAAAAAATTTAAAGAATTCATTTAACATCTCAATAGATGAACATAAAACATTTGACAAAGTCTATCATCCTGTAATTATTTTTTTAAAAAACCTCTATAAACTACAGAATTATATAGGAACTTTCTCTACCTGCTGTAGAACACTTGTGAAAAATCCACAGCTAACATCACACCAGATTTTTTTTTTTTTTGAGACAAGCTTTCATTATACAGTTCAGGCTGGCCTTAAACTCACTGTGTAGCCAGGCTGGCCTCGAACTTGTGGCAATCCTCCTGCCTCGGCCTCCAGAGTGCTGGGATCACAGGTGTGTGCCACCATGCCTGACCCATACTAGATTTTGAAAGACTGGAGTCTTTTTCCTCAGATTTGCCACTTCTGCTCAGCATTGTACTGGAGGTTCTATCTGGAACAGTTCTACATGACAAACCAATTTAAAATATCCAGATAGGAAAGGAAGAAGTAAAATTATCTCTATTTACATGTGATATGATCTGTTATATAGAATATCCTAAGGAATCAACAAAACACATCAGCTGTAACAAATTCAGTGCACAAACAATATACAGAAATCAACTGTATTTCTATAGACTTGAACAATCCAAAAATAAAAATTAAAAATAATTCCCTTTATTATAAAAGTAACATTAAAGAGAATAAAATATTTGGGAATAAGTTTACCAAAGCAAGTGCTAAATTTAAATTCTGACAATTACAAAATGTTGAAAGAATTAAAGAACATTTAATTGGAAAGGCACCTATGTTCATAGATCAGATG